TATGGACGTACGGACGGATGCTACATTAATAACGGTTTCTGTGCAGGGAACGAATGCAACCAATGTTATGAACAATGTTACAATCGTCACGTGCACGCATCAACGTCACTCCATCTCGGCCCGTGCATTTATATATCTGCATCGTTGACCGTATATAGAGGGGAGAGGAGGGGAGGGCAGGGGAGGGAGGGGAGGGAGGGAAGGGAAAGGCGAGGGGAAGGGGAGCGCGCGCAGGGCATAGGAGAGAAGAGGGAGAGGGAGGGGAGGGAAGGGGTAGGGGTAGGGGAAGGCAGGGCATGGGAGAAGAGGGGGAAGGGGAGAAGGGAGGGGAGACCCGCCGCGGACGAAGGCAGAGCAGGGAAGAAGAGGGGAAGGGGAGGGGAAAGGGGAAAGGGATGGGGAACGGGCAGGGCAGGGGAGAAGAGGGCGAGGGGAGGGGGAAGGGAAGGGAGGGGAGGGGGAAGGTGATGGTAGCAGATGAGAGCGCAAGGAAAGATGGGAGATGAGGCGTTAGTTTATCATGGCACTGGAAGGTAGGGGGCTTAGAAACACACTGTTGTTGGGGTAAGTAGGGGGGTTAAGAAACACCTGTGTGGGGGAAGGTAGGGGGGTTGAGAACACCTGTGTGGGGGGAAGGTAGGGGGTTAGAAAACACCTTGTGTGGGGGAAGGTAGGGGGGTTAGAAGCAGCCTGTTGGTGGGGGGAAGGTAGGGGGTTAGAAACACCTGTCGTGGGGGGCAAGGTAGGGGGTTAAGAACAGCCTGTGTGGGGGGAGAAGGTAGGGGGGTTAGAACATGCTGTGTGGGGGAAGGTAGGGGGTTAGAACACATGTGTGGGAGGCAGGTAAGGGGGGTAGAACACCTGTGTGGGGGAATGGTAGGGGGGGTTAGAACACCTAGTGTGGGGAAGGTAGGGGGGGTTAGAACACCTGTGTGGGAAAGGTAGGGGGGTTAGAAACACCATAGTGTGGGGGGAAGTAGGGGGTTAGAACACCTGTGTGGGGGGAAGGTAGGCAGGGGGGGTTAGAACACCTGTATGTGGGGGAAGGTAGGGGAGTTAGAACACCTGTGTTTGGGGGAAAAGGTAGGGGGGTTAGAACACACTGTGTGAGGGAAGGTAGGGGTTAGAAACAACACTGTGTGGGGGGAAGGTAGGGGGTTAGAACAGCTGTGATGGGGGAAAGGTAGGGGGTTAGGAACGACCTGTGTGGGGGGAAGGTAGGGGGTAGAACACCTGTGTGGGGAAGGTAGGGGGTTAGAACACCTGTGTGGGGGAAGGTAGGGGGGTGAAGCACTGTGTGGGGAAGGTAGGGGGTTAGAAGCACGCTGTGTGGGGAGGGAAGGTAGGGGGTTAGAACACCTGTGTGGGGGGAAGGATGGGGTCTAGAACACATGTGTGGAGAGGTAAGGTAGGGGGTTAGAAACCACCTGTGTGGGAGAGGAAAGGTAGGGGGTTAGAAACAGGCCTGTTGTGGGGGGGGAAGGTTGAGGGGGGTTAGAACACACTGTGTGGGGGGAAGGTAGGGGGTTAGAAACACCCTGTAAGGGGGGGAAGAGGTGAAGGGGTTAGTAAACACGACTGTGTCGGGGGGAAAGGTAGGGGGTTTAGAACAACGAATATGTGTGGGGGGAAGGTAGGGGGGTTAGAACAGCCTGTGTGGGGGAAAGGTAAGAGGGGGTTATATAAAAAAAAGAACAACGCACGCCGAACCACACACATGCCACACAAAACACAAAAACTGAGCTCCCTGCTTAGTTGATTCATACCATCACTGTGGTACCTATCACGCGAGCCCATGCCAGCCGGCACCTGTGTGGGGAGAAGGTATTTGGGTTAGAAGCAAGACACTCTTAGTGTGGGGGGAGGTAGGGGGGTTTAGAACACAGCTGTGTGGGGGAAGGTAGGGGGGTTAGAACACCTTGTGTGGGGGGAAGGTAGGGGGGGTTAGAACACAACTGTGTGGGGGAAGGTAGGGGGGGTTAGAACACCACGCTGTGTGGGGGGAAGGTAGGGGGGTTAGAAGCACCGTGTGTGGGAGGGAAGGTAGGGGTTAGAAACACGGGCTGTGTGGGGGAAGGTAGGGGGGGTTAAGAAAAACACGCTGTGTGGGGGAAGGTAGGGGGGTTCAGAACACCTGTTTTGGGGGAAAGGTAGGAAGGTTAGAAGCACCTGTGTGGGGACAGGTTAGGGGGGTTAGAACACCTGTGTGGGGGAAGGTAAGGGGGTTAGAACACGGCCTGTGTGGGGGGAAGGTAGGAGGGGGTTAGAACAGCCTGTGTTGGGGGGAAAGGTAGGGTTAGAAACACCTGTTGTGGGGGGAAGTTAGGGCAGGTTAGCAACACCTGTGTGGGGGCGAAAAGGTAGGGGGGTTAGAACACCTGTTTGGGGCGGAGAAGGTAGGGGGGTTAGAACACACGGTTAGAACACCTGTGTGGGGGGAAGGTAGGGGGGTTAGAACACCTGTGTGGGGGGAAGGCTAAAACTGATATAGCTGTAAGAAACGGCCATGCATCGAAAGATCACGCAATCATAGGAAAAGTATTGATGGTTAGCCACGTAGCCTGGTCGAGCTAGGATTAATAAACTATGTTTGTAAAAGTATTGATGGTTAGCCACGTAGCCTGGTCGAGCTAGAATTAATAAACTATGTTTGTAAAAGAAGAGTAACGCAGTAGACTTAGGTGAGGGGAAAGGAAGGTGAATGTCATCTCAAGCTTTGTTGATTGTAACCTCAAGCTTTGTTGATTGTAACCTCAAGCTTTGTTGATTGTAATCTCAAGCTTTGTTGATTGTAACCTCAAGCTTTGTTGATTGTAACCTCAAGCTTTGTTGATTGTAATCTCAAGCTTTGTTGATTGTAACCTCAAGCTTTGTTGATTGTAACCTCAAGCTTTGTTGATTGTAACCTCAAGCTTTGTTGATTGTAACCTCAAGCTTTGTTGATTGTAACCTCAAGCTTTGTTGATTGTAACCTCAAGCTTTGTTGATTGTAACTGATTGCTGTAACCTTGTGTGTGAAAAACACAACCTTATGTAAACGAGTGGAGTTGCTCACCCCAGCTGGAAGAAGCAGAGGACGTCTGGCGCGACCCTGTGTATTATAGGTAAAAACCCATTCACGGTAGGAATCTGCCCTTTTCTATCACCTCGTACAGTTAGTTAGTTCCCCACAAGGTGAGTAATAACATAGTATCCGCATCTCTGAAACTGCTGCCCATTAGTACGCCAACTAGCAAATGGACTACTAACTGCACAGATGTGCAATATTAACATATTTGTGTCACCTAGCCATCGTCATCGCCTAGGTAACCACCTCCCCAGCGACCCCTGGTCTGCTAATAGCGTACTAGACAGGAACATGTTACAGCTGGTTCATTACTGGACACAGGAGCAGTGACCGCGTTCCTACATATATATATATATATATTATTATATATATATATATTTAGCTACACATAGCTTTATAGAGAGTAGAGAGAGAGAGAAGAGAGAGAGAGAGAGAGAAAAAGGGATGCGAGAATATATATATATCAATATATTATATATTATATATGTATTTATGTATATATAATATGTCTCCTTCTGTCTCTATCTTCTCTCTCTCTCGCCCCTTCTCCTCTCTCTCCCATGCACTCAGTGGCGCATGTCCAAGGCTTTCGTACTATCGCTTCTACGTGTCTGTGATTCTCACGTTGTTGACTTTTGCTGGATCCCTAAATATCTACTTGTGAGGGTTCGCCTTAGCTGGGCATAGGTTCCAGATTATTTCAGTGAGAATGTGTGGAGAATGGGGTGGCTCACGGAACCCACCTCAAGATACACTCCTGCGGTAAATTAGATTGACTGGGTTTTAGGTATTGAACCTTAGCGGTTAGAGGACTACGTCCTGGGACCTAACTATCAGAACACAAAATTATATCTTAACGTTAGCTCTGAGATTAACACCTTTTCTCTTCAGACCGTTGCAGAAACATCGGGTAAGTTAGAAGAATGGAATAACCCGTAGCCTGATTTCCTCTTAATCTTTATTGGAGAACCTCGTAACGACAGAAATTCTGTTAACGACCGCTAGAAGTAAATTGTTAACGGTAACTAATGTTAAGCACTAATGTTGGTTCCTGACAACGGGCGACATGATTGCTTAATGCTACATAGTTACCCACCTTGCAAAGACAACAGGAGGGAAGTGACTGCATAGGTAATCATCAAATAAATGGAGCCTCTCTTCAATGCAAGAGGGAGCCTACTCATCATAGTAGGGAGCCTCTCATGATCACATAGAGGGAGCATCTCTCTCTTCATTTTCCCAACTTTCTCATGTTTACCAAACCTCATATGTTTCAAGCTTTCCTATGGTCTGTTCCAGACGCGTTTCATGTTTCCATCAACGCGTTCTGATGTTTTCCTTGACACGCTTCTCATGTTTCCAGACCTGTGTTCTCTTGTATCTCATATTTACCGACTCGTTTATAATCATGTTTCCCCCAGACCGTTCTAATGTTTCCCTAGGACTGTTTCTGTTTCGGTTATGTTTCCCAGACTGTTTCATGTTTCCCAGAGTATTATTTTCATACTGTTCTCATGTTTCGCCAGAACTGTTCTCATGAGTTTCCAGAGGTCTCTGTTCTCAGATTTCTCAAACTCTATGTTCCTCTGCCTAATGGCCCAGACTGTTCAAATTCACTGTTTCTATTTTCCCCAAACGTTCTGAGTTTTCCTGTGACCGTTCTGCATGTCTTCCCCAGACTGTTCTCATGTTCCAGACTGTCTCATGTTTTCAGACTGTTCTCAAGTTTCCCAGACTGTTCTCATGTTCCCAAACTGTTCTCATGGTTTCCCAGACTGGTTCTCATGTTTTACCGACCGTTCTAAATGTTTTCGCGACCCTTCTCACTCACTCTGTATGTGATGCTAAATCCGGCATCGTGTAACAGCGACATCGCTGTAGAAGTAGAGGTAGGCTTGCCAGAGTGAGTCGTCACCTCAGGTACCGCGGTGCTCCGTCACCGCTGCTGTCACCACTGCTGTCCTGCTGCACCAACAGACCACTGCAATGAGAGAGAGAGAGAGCGAGAGTTAGTCTTAGCACACTATACACTAGCCACACCTCTTCATCACCGCCGCCGCCGCCGCGCCCGCGCGCCGCTTCCGCGCCCTACTGCAAACAATAACAGACTGCCTGCAACGAATGTATTAGAGAGGGAGCAGCAAGGAGATAGAGAGAGCGAGAGAGAGGAGAGAGAGCAGAGAGAGCAGCGAGAGAGAGAGAGAGAGAGAGAGAGAGAGAGAGAGAGAGAGAGAGGAGAGAGAGAGAGAGAGAGGAGAGAAGAGGACAAGCGAAGAGAGAGAGAGCGAGAGAGGAGAGAGAGGAGAGAGAGAGAGAGAGAGAGAGAGAGAGAGAGAGAGAGAAGAGAGAGAGAGAGAGAGAGAGGAGAAGAGAGAAGGACAGCCAGAGAGAGATGAGAGAGAGGACAGCGAGAGAGAGAGAGAGAGAGAGAGAGAAGAGAAGTGAGAGAGGAGGGAGTCGCAGCGCAGAAGAGCGAGAGAGAGAGAGAGCGAGGAGCGAGAGAGAGAGAGAGAGATGAGAGAGAGAGAGAGGAGAGAGAGAGAGAGAGAGAGAGAGAGAGAGAGAGAGTTAGAGAGAAGGCGTACATTATCCCATGTTCACCAATATGGTGCATCGAAGCAGCAGGTAAATATTTCTCTGTACGCTGGGCTGCACATCTCCCTCACATGCCTGCCGATGACATCCACGGTAAAAACCCAACATTCACCTCAACTAGGGTTACCCTAATTCACACACACGTACTAATGGATTTTTTCCCATATCTTGTGTGTTTTTCACGAACGAATAAACGCGGGTTTTTACGCTATCGAAAAACTCTCTTTTCTACACACTCACGTTAGAGATATTTTGAGGATATAAATGGAGGGTTTCCATCGAAAAACTCTCTCGCCTCAGTGGCGACTCGCATTACGGGATTTTCCGGTTACTTAAACTTCTTTCTTCCAGAACGCACTGACTACTTTCGTAACGTGGGTGGGGGGAGGGGGTATTACTGTGAGTATTAGAACAAATACGAATCGTGTAGTAGGGCCCCGGTTGCCACACAGCTCTCGATGCTTCCCTCCCAAATGCACAACAGATCAATAAGTGAATGTTTGTAAACGATCACTTCGTGATGAGTTGCCACCGCACCCCCAACAGCGACGATAACAGTGAAACACGAATTGGTAAAAAACAGACAAGGACAGCCACAGAGGTATAGAGAGGGAGAGGGAAGAGAGAGAGAGAGAAGAGAGAGAGAGAGAGAGAGAGAGAGAGAGAGAGAGAGAGCAGAGAGAGGGGGAGTGAGGAGTGAGGAGGAGGAGAGAGAGAGAGGGCGAGGTGAGGAGAGAGGAGAGAGAGAGACGGGGGAGAGTGATGAGAGAGAGAGAGAGAGAGAGAGAGAGAGATAGAGAGAGAGAGGATGAGAAGAGAGAAGAGAGAGAGAGAGAGAGAGAGAGCGTGAAGAAGAGAAGAGAGAGAGAGAGAGAGAGAGAGAAGCGAGAGAGAGAACTCCCTGAGTAATATTAAAGCCACGAGCAATATTCTCGAGCAAGGCGTGTCGTGTCTCAGACATGTCACGCTCGCCCTCACGCCCGCTCACACGCCCCATGTGTGTTCAACTCCACCAAGAAAACATTTGTTTCACAGAGGGTCAAGCGAGTGAATTACACGCGTTCGATGATGACGATGATAGATGATGACGATGATGATGATGAGACGATGATGATGATGGTGATGATGATGATGATGACGATAGATGACGACGATGATGATGATGATGGTGACAATGATGATGACGATGACGATGATGATGATGACGATGATGATGATGATGATGATGATATGATGGATGATGATAGTGACGATGATGATTGATGACAATGATGACAATGATGGTGACGATGACGATAATGATGATGATTGACAATGATGACAATATGGTGACGATGACGATGATGATGGTGACTGACGCTGTTGACAGTCATGGTGACGATGACGATGATGATTTGATGGATGAGACGATGATGACGACGATGATGATGATGATGACGACGATGACATCGCTGCGGTACCGCACTGACGGTAACAACGTAACAGACAGTCCAGGGAGAATTTATGCTACGATAAATGTGAAGCCACATGACAAGCAGCATTAGTAAACAGTGTGCTAGGAGTGCCTATACACAGCAGGGACACCAACGAACAGGAACGAAGACGAGCGCACACGTGCGTTGAATTCTTAATTTTCTATGCTATACAGTATGATGGAATCGCTGAATTTCATAATCGATTATCGCGTTTCCTTAACCGATCGATAATCGATTATAATCGGATAATCGTTAATAATAGCTAGATTTAATTTAATCTTACTATGTATATACAATTATAACATAGCATTCAATATTATCATGTTTTATGATCATGTATTAACCTGTGAAGGTTGCTGTATGATATATCAATGTCTGTTCCTATACAGTATATTAATCAATTTAAAAGAAATGGTTTAATGCTATTATTAAAACATTTAAAGTTTTAAACAAACATGATCAAGACTTGTTTTTATTATAGTAAGTAAGATTGTTTGTGTTCTAATAGTGTAGGCTGCAATCAGACAGGACTATGTTAACAGTGATTCATGAAGGTGTCCTCTGGACTACACACTGATGCACTTCTACTTCGCTACCAATACATGTCCATGTTGCGATTTAGTAATTTTAAATTATTATTATTTTTTTTTGTATTTTTGATAATCGTTATTTGTTTCATAATCGATTATCGAATTGAGCTATAATCGATATTTTCGCATTATAATCGATCATCGCGGACATCACTACTATACAGCATAATTCTTATGTTTTTCAAGTGGTATAATCAGTAAAATATCCGCTATTATGTGAAACTATATTTTGCTATATTTTTTTTCAGATTGTGCATTATTAAGCGATGATTTCGACGCTAGTAACTATTGTCATGGTTACACAATGAAATGATGCAATGATCAATCTAGGTTGCACGAGTGTTTTTAGTGTTGCCAGCGGGAGAAAAATCGCCGATGAATCGCGCTGATATTCGCCTAGTGTGTCCACTCAGTCGCGCCACTCACTCGCGCAACTCACTCGCCTGAAAAATCGCCTAGTGTGTCCGGCCCTTAAGGAATTAAGGTGGTTGCTAATTACACGTGGTAACCTCTCGGGGTCTACACATCACGCATGAGCATACACAATTCAAGTAATATCTGCACAAACGTACACAATCAGCCTCCGTAAGAAGAAGTGAATTCATGATTCATCGACAGGTACGGATCCCACACAATTAGCAAGCAAAACAATACAATACCTCGCAGGTAGCGGTGCGCATAGGTGCCAACCACGGATATTGACGCTATAAACCACTCCTTCTTGAATCATGAATTTTAAACAAAGGTGGGGCTCGCGCTACATCTTACACGATGCTGACTCATCATTTTGCGATGAAAGCAGCCGACTGACAATGAGCTCTGATTCTGATTGTTAGCTCTGCCCAGCACGATGTATCAACGGGCATTTTGGAACGTTTCAATAATAAAAGTGATGGTGACTAAACAGGAAATGTATTTACTACCAAAGTCTTAGTGTTCATCTTTGCTATTTCGTCTATTATTTGTAACATTGTCCCGTAAATGCCGTTCAAATTCTCTTCTGCAACACAATTTCACTGCACGCACACCACTGTGCAAAACTCACAGAAAAATCTCTATGTTTCTGTGAGTTTGTGCACAGTGGTGTGCGTGCGACGAAATTGTGGTGTTGCAGAGGAGCATTTGAACGGCATTATTGAACGTGATTGAACTGCATTTAGAAGGAGTCATTAGTCGATAGAGAATACATAAACATGGAGACTTTGGTAGTAAATACAATTTGTGTGTATTTACAATCGTTTTATTATGATTGTATGGATTGTATTGATGGATTGTTGTATTGATGGAGACTGATCAATTCTATCACTGGTCGAAAAACTGCGAAACAGGGAATCAATTAAAGGGATAGTAGACTCTAGGATTTTACTGCATACAAATGTACTTACTGTATAACAAATCGTCTATACCCACATGTATTTGTTACAGATACCTAATTTAATTGTTACAATTAATTACACATCAACGCTACGAAATTTGAACGGAGAGAGAAGGCGTACATTATCCCATGTTCACCAATATGTGCATCGAAGCAGCAGGTAAATATTTCTCTGTACGCTGGGCTGCCACGTCTCCCTCACATGCTCCGATGACATCACGGTAAAAACCCATCATCACCTCAACTAGGGTTACCCTAAATTCACACACACGTACTAATGGATTTTTTCCCATTCTTGTGTGTTTTTCACGAACGAATAAACGGGGTTTTTACTATCGAAAAACTCTCTTTTCTACACACATCACGTTAGAGAATATTTCGAGGATATAAATGGAGGGTTTCCATCGAAAAACTCTCTCGCCTCAGTGCGACTCGCATTACGGGATTTTCCCGTTACTAACTTTCTTTCTCCAGAACGCACTGACTACTTTCGTAACGTGGGTGGGGGGAGGGGGGTATTACTGTGAGTATTAGACAAATAACGAATCGTGTCAGAGGGCCCCGGGTTGCCACACAGCTCTCGATGCTTCCCTCCCAAATGCACAACAAGATCAATAGTGAATGTTTGTAACGATCACTTCGTTGATGATTGCCCACCGGCACCGCAGCGACGGCATACCAGTCAACACGAATTGGTAAAAACAAGACAAGGACAGCCACAGAAGTATAGAGAGAGGGAGAGGGGAGAGAGAGAGAGAGAAAGAGAGAGAGAGAGAGAGAGAGAGAGAGAGAGAGAGAGAGAGAGACATAATGACAATCATATCTCTAATACAGCTTCTAAGATCTAAGCACGAAGCTACTCACCTGCTCACCTCTAATCACCTCACCTGTCCTTACTCACCTGTCCGAAGACCTTCACCTGTGATTAGAAAAGCTGATGCCGTGC